GTCTTTTAAGGGTTTTGTGAGACAACAGCTTGATGCACACTGAATCAACATCTTCATGACAGCTGATGTCACCTTTAAATTCTATATTTGTTTTTATATATACATCAGTGTTTGTTTTGTAATACACACGAACATTACGTATTTAAGCAGCCATAAAGGTGTTGTGCAGTCTGTAGCTTTACCCACAATGCCCCTGTGTCCTCAGGCCCTGTAGTGCCACATCTCCTTGACAGCAGATGTCTATGGAAAGATGTTTTAGTAAGTGCATGTGCTTATTTCTGTGTCTGTGTGATGATTATGCAGCAAATCAACATGACTTGCGGTGTCACTTTGCTGACTCCAGTTGTCATGTTATATTCCTCCTTGTTTATAGATTGTAACACTCATAGAAAAAAAATAGACGCATAAATGATCTCACCTCATCGGCAGAATTAATCACTTTATGTAATATAAATAACTCTGAGACTAAATGTGAAAGTAAATAACTTGTTAAGACACCATCTGCAGTGCTGTGAGTGTTCCTGTTTGCTCTCAGTTACAGTCTTCACCCCCACCCAGATTCTCCCCCACCCCACCACAAGCAGACATTAAGCAGACAAGGCAGAAGCTCTCCACTCTGCACGTGACCCCCCTGTTTAGTATTCCTGTCACGTCTGGCTGAGGGAGCGGCATTAAATTGGGATCAGGCAGATTAGAGTATAATATAGACGACTATTAAAGGCTGCAAATGAGAGCCATGGGTTAGAGCCTTAGCAGGGGCCCAGCCTCCCTCCATGCCAGTGCAATATACACTCACCACACACATACACCGAATTACATGGCCACAACAATGACACTGTGTGGAATGAAAATGCAAGAAAAAATATGACCTCCAGTTAATGTTCATCTTTAACCAAACAACCACAAGTACCAGGAAGTACCAAAAAAACAATTAGAATATCAGGGGAAAAATCTACACTCATGTAACTTGGGTAAGTAACATTTATTCTATATGATTTATTTCACCATTATCTATCCAATCCTGATATAGCAGCTCCACTTGGGGAGTGCCAAATGGCACCTCAACAGTGAGGAGAGAAAGGACAAGCACTAATTTTCTTCCTCCCAACACAGACTTAAGTCCTGTCAGTCCAGACAAGCCTGCTATAGTAGCCATCGCCTGCTATTACCACAGTCAAAGAAACAAGTTAAAGGTCCCATATTGTATAAAGGTAGATTTCCATGTGTTTTTGTGATTATAAAGCAGGTCTAGGCTCTATATTAATACTGTGAAAGTATCAAAGCGCTCAGTCCACAGAGAAATGCACACAGTCTCTATTCAGAAACTGAGCTTTAAAACAAACCGTCAGGACGTCTGTTACTTTGTGATGTCACAACAAAGCAGTCACCACTGTCAGTCATGCACCAAGCCCAGCCCACATTCAACCTTACAGGATTTGGTTTCTATTTGGTTTTTGGTTTGTTTATCTGAAATCTGTTATATTTTTTTTCAATCACTAAGAAAACAGTCAGCCAATCAGAAGAGAGTATTCAAATTAAAAAGTGAAAGTGAAAAAAGTGTAAAATATGGAACCTGTACAGAAGGTAATGACTTACCTACACCTGATCTTTTTGCCTGTAAAATGAACTCTGCCTGTTTGCGTGGTTTCGCTGTTGTAACACTGTCATTCACTGTAACCTACACTCAAAGAACTGGACTGAGATCATCTGAAAATGTTAGTCTCAAAGCAAACTGGTGTGGACTGTTTGTGGTGTGAAAGCAAAACAGATCAACCACAGGATTTTATGATGTTTTTGAAAATGACAGCGTGTGACTTCCACTATAGGGCGTACGAAACATACAACATTATTGAAAACTCTAATAGTTAGGCTTTGACAATATCCAAAATTTTATATGTTGATACACTCCCACGCCCAGATATCGTGATATACAATATTATCATATACAATTATTGCATTTAATTTTTCAGGTATAAGGGATAAGACTTGGCTACAGGACAGACTGAAAAAAAAATTATGTTATGAAAAATATCATATATGGCAGGCAATGTCACGATATTCAGTATTATCAAATATCAGCCCCAGTCTAAAAAAGTTCACTCTACATCCTTGAAATTTAAATTGTACTGGGTGTATATTTTGAAAATTTCCCCAAGAGTCAGACAGCAGAACACATCTTCTTCCCCCACTCATTTGGAAACAAGGAATGGAGTAGAAACATAAATTACATCAATTACACCAACAGTGTCATTTTTCAAGAAGTAAAAACTTGTGCAATCAGAGCAAGTTGAAAGATGTAACAATGAGATCGATATTCCACATTTAAGGACTTCCACATGTATTCCACATGTAGAGACAAAGTGACCAAGGATCAGATTAGAAAATGCTGGATTTTTTAAACCAGTCCCTCATAAATTTGGTTTCAATCCTTGACAATACCTTCCTGTATACAGCTAAAACAACTGGATCTGAAAACATTGCCACTAGTAACCATCTTACAGTGTTTATATAACTTACTGCCAAGTCCTGAGTCCTTATCATAATTCATTTGATAGGGACATACTGTATTTTTAGACATTCCCCTGGGTCTCTTCTAAGTTAAAGATAACAAAAAGAACAGTGGGAGAGTATAAAAGGGGCACAGTGAGAAAAACAGTCTTGATGGAATAGGCAATGGAGAGAACAGTGATCACAAGTGTGAAAAACAGCTCCATGGGGCACAAATATTCAGATCCACCAAAAGCTTTTATTCTCACTCGGTCATCTTTCCAACTTCTTCTCAGATTTTATTGCCTTGTAGTTCTCTGTCATCGTGGCCATTAGGGCAGCAGCTTTCCTCCAAGAGGAGATGCTCAATAATTTTGGTAGTATGGACCATTGCACAGTGTATCTGGAGGATCTTATGTGAGTGACATTCCCAATAAAAGGCAGATGTTAACAATGTAGGTGACACTGTGAAGCCTAGCGCCATCACTGGACCATATCCTATCCACTTAAAGATCCTTTTTTGAACCTTGTGCGTGTGTTCAGCGTGTCCTTTAGGGAATGTCATGGAGCTGCCACACTATTAAAAGTAGAGTGAAGACAGGATAAGTGCTTTGGAGTGGAGCTCATATTATATCTTTAATTCTTCCCTCTATTGAATGTCCATTAATGTGTCTTTGCACATCAATGGTAAGAGAAACATAGACAGATTACCACTTTATTTTTTAAGTACATAGAAATATCTGTAAAAGGACTGTTTGTATGAGAGCACATGAGAGGCTCATGCAACTAAAGCCCCACATTGAGATAAGATTTATTATAGGAAAGTTGGCATGATTTCAATATTACCTGCACTAGTCAAGTAATTATTATTACCCAATTTCTTTTTTTCTTTTTTTTTTGTTGGTCTTCCTGTTATTTTAGTCCAGTCTGGAAAGAAACTTTGCATTTTAAAAGTGCATCTTTAGTTTGCATATGTACATCTTTGCTTACAGTGTCTCAGCTCAGCAGCCAACAAGCTAATGTACTTAACAGTTACACTGCTTATATACTGATGTCTGCATGGCACGTATAATGTACTGTATACAGTGTGATAACTATCTTAGATGTAGACCAACCAACAGACCAACACAGCCATTCCTACAGCCACACTGTTAAAATTGAAATACAATTATGTGCATTTGTAACATACTGCCAATTAAATGGCTCGGTGAGTGATGTCAGCTGTGACTTCGACAGACTTTGAGTGGGAAAAAAGAAGCTAGATGCAGACAGTGTTGTAACAGAGTGATATCCCTCTGAGTTGGACAAATGTGTCTCAGATGAGCTGATACATTTCAGATCTTTATGAGACCTGACAGATAGAACACACCTCTGAGCTGCTGGACTGTGGATTACAGTTAATATTTCCTGTGTCTGCCACTCAGTGTCAGAGAGGGTGTTACTTTTTCCTCAACTGCCACAGAGATCCATCAACATGCTGTCACCCACATGGTCACTGAATATGAAATTGTCCTCTTGGACTTTGACGACTTGATCCGTGACTTCACAGAGGACTGGAGGAAAGCAGATGGTCTTGGCAGATTTGTCACTGATGTTTAGTGCTGTGTTTCACTGTGTTGTTATGGCTCTGGCTGCATTTTCTTTCATAGTTATATATGTGGCAGGTGATGTTTCACTTTAGTTTATGTTTTAGCTCTTTAAGATAAATAAAAAAATAATGCATAATGGTATGGCTTTTATTCTATCAAAATAATTAACATAATACATGCTGTGAAGGTTACTTATTCCTGATTTGTTGTGTGCTGGGAGAGGATGTACATTATATATGTGTGCGTGCGTACAAATTTGTATCCAGGGCCCATGGTCATGATGATCTGTGCATGAAAAGCACTCAAGTGTTTTTAAGATTTTAATGTGTTGAATATGGTAAAAATTTGTAATTTATTCTTAGTCTTTAATTAATGTGCTGATGGAAACAGGATAATGTTAATTGGCTTGTAAGTGTATTTGGCTGCTTTCAAGGAAAAGTCCATGATAAAACCTTTGTGTCTATTTGCCTATGTGTCGTACTCTCAGAGGTAACTGACCAAACAAAGACAATATCACATCATGTTGGGAGTTTCATAGTAGAAACAGTTTCAGCTTTGTGTAAAATATTAACAGCAGATTATTTGTGTTAGCCCTTTAAAATCAATGCGCAAACATTTGTTTCTACATGTGAAACTTTGTTTACTTTACAACTCTTCTTTAGGGTTTTGGAAAGGCAGTCTGGGAAATGTAGGAATTCACCAACTGAGGTAAACATAGAGGAGACAAGTCAGTGTCTGCACCACAAGAATGAACTGCAAAAGCCAAAACCCCAAAATCTGAACTGTCTTCTGATGGGACAATAGAAATTTGAGGCTCCTGTTTTGGCTTGATGCACGCCAACATGTACTGCTAATACATAATCAGTGATATAATAATTAAGATCAGTGACAATAAAAAGTGCTGCTCTCTCTCTTTCTCCTCAGACATCCGTTGTTCCCCCTGCTGGCATTGTTGTTTGAGAAATGTGAGCAGGCCACACAGGGATCTGAATGCATCACGTCAGCCAGCTTTGATGTGGACATAGAAAACTTTGTGCACCAGCAGGAACGAGAACATAAGCCCTTCTTCAGTGAAGATCCAGAGCTGGACAACTTGGTGAGCCAACGTCTGTGACAAAGAACACATGGATTTCTGTTGGTTTCGGGAACCTAACCATCTACATTGTAAATTAGAAATGCCTGCTTGTCTGTTTGCAGCGGATCCTATCATTACTACTCCTAATTATTCCCTCCTTTTTCCTGTAATCTTCCCATCCTACCCCTATACTTCCCCTTGTTCAACACCTAGCAGTAATTACAAATTAAGAGAAGGAGGATGCTGATCATGTTCCCTGAGAAAAGAGGGGGAGGAGCTGAAGCCAGACAAAGACAGAGACAAAGAAAAAAAGTGCACTTTTGCTATTACAGTACTTGGGATGGCAGGCCGACAAGTGCTCAACAGTCAATTAACCCTGCATCTGTGTGTTTTATGAGGCACTGGGTGCAGGCATTCCTCCCAGAGGGCACTAACTCTTCCACAGGGCAGTAATGTTACACTGGGCTTGACTGGCTGCGATGGGTGCAAGAGTTACTGGTCCCTTGATTAAGTGAGCGCAGTTTAATTAGCTGATTTATCTCCTCCTTGGCCAAGCACTTTCCTGTCCATTCTGTTGACCTTGAGTGGTGACTTGATGGGAGTGCACCACAGTGAGTCTCAAAGAGTGGAGAAAAGCGAGGCTATGGATGGCTAGATGGCTGGTGAAGAGAAGAAAATACAGAGAGATATTGTAAATGAATGATTCCTGTTATTAAAAAAGTATCACTTACAAACAGATCCCCTTAACTGGGTTGGACTGATTGCTAATTTTGCCAAAATTTGACTTGATATAGGAATTGTAATCATGTCACACTTTAGAACAACAAAATATGTTCAAATTACTTTTTTTCCCCATTATGTAATATTTTCATTAATATTATTAATACATTTCAGGTAATAAACCTGGTCCCAAGCTGTTTCCTAGCAACACAAACTCCAATGAAATGGTCTGTTATATATCAGACAGTCCGTCAGCGTCATCTACCTCCAATTTTACAGACGGTCCTCTCTGACCCCTGCTACTGCATTCAATCAAATTGTTTGATAAATGTCTGAGCAGAGCAATAATTCCATTGTGGCAGGGGAGGATTTTCCTCGACAGCTTGCGAGGGAGTCTGTCTGTAAAACTTGAACCGAAACCTCCCAGAAGAAACTTCTACAACAATTCCCTTTCACTGGAGACTTCCAATGCCCCATCGTGGTCTGAATGCTGTCTGAAGGTCTTTGCTTGTATGCCAGGAACACCGTTTTGAGGAAAATACTGAAATCTTGTAAATAGAGGGAATTACTTGGCATGACTACAGTCAAATTAAAACTGCTTATTATCACTGAATGTTATTTTTATTACTCCTGTCTTGAAGTCTTGTATCTGTTTTGCTACTGAAAGCTGCATTTTTTTTTTTACCTTAAAGCTACAACAGCAGGAGGTGTACCATGATTGGTTTTCATATGATTTTTCACTCTACTTCTCAGGTTAAGTGCAATGAGTGACTCACTTTTAGTTTTGTTGTCTCACACTGACTTTAAAATGCAAGTAATGCCTAATATATACCGTTACATCAATACAGTGGAGGTGATGTGGCGTAGGAATTAACTATATATATTGTGACTGACTATATTCAAGCATGAAAGTGCATCCGCATCCTTGACTGTTGGGAACAACATGTGAAGCAAAACAATCTCATGAAACAAAACTGCATCTCACGATCTCCATTCTCTGAAGAAGTCTGTGAGATCCAGGTGAAAGCTCCGAAAAAAGAACTGAGTGTACCTTTAAGCTTACATTATTTTCTCATTGTGAGCAATAAGATTTTTGGAGAACCCAGCAAAACAGATGCCATTCTAGAGGTAAAAGAAAGGGGAGGTTGTATGAAGAGGGTTTTGAAGATTTAAGTAACATAAAATAAGATATTTTATTTGTTTAAACACTGAAGCCAAAATAGCCAGTCTTATAGACACACAGTGGAAAGGTCTGACTTCCCATCATTCCTTAGGCTCCGTGTGTTGATTTCTGGCTATGGGAGAATGAAGGATAAAAGGATTATACCCCCCCTGTATACTTGCAATCTATATGCATCTCTGGAATAAACATGAAAATTGAATGTCGCTCCCTGCTCATCAATAAAATAAATTGCTGCACGTCACATCTCAGCCTTTAAAACTGACTGTAAACACCTCAGTTCACTGTTCCACATCTAGACCTGACAGTCTGGCTCTGGATTTTGTTTTACCTAATGTGGCCAGTGTGTGTTTGAGTATGTCCAGAGCTGATGAGGGTGATCATCTATGCATACCCATATTTAGCACAAACTATCCAGTAACTCAGTGCCCATGTGGTTTCTGTATTATTTTCTTTTGAACTGGTTTTCTAAACCCTGTAAAATTTACCAAAGAGCAGTTGTCCCTGAATTTTCATTCTAATTAAAAATAAACAAATAGGGCCACAGTATTTGGTAAGTTTTGAACAATGGTGATGGATAAAAAATAATGTATCAAAATATACAATATGAAGATGTTAAAATGGTTTTCTGTTTGTTTTTTTCTCCCTTTAAACACCTCTAAAATGAACCAAATATTATTACAACTATTCACATATACAACTATACACATATTTCATGGAAAAATGGAAAAGTTAAGGCTATGTAAATTTTAAGTTTTTTGACCCCTAAAGCCCCTTATACTGTGCAGAAAATCCATTGAAATCCTGGGAATTTTTTAAATTCATAACACCCTAAGAATCCCATAAACACCTAAATAACATCATAATTAATAGGTTAATTGAAATTATTTTGAAATAAAAAAAATGCATGAAGTATGTTGTGAATGGGATCAGTTTTATGGTTTGTCTCTGTTTCCTTCAGATGGTAAAGGCCATTCAGGTGTTGAGGATCCACCTACTGGAATTAGAGAAGGTCAATGAGCTCTGTAAGGATTTCTGCAACCGTTACATCACCTGCCTGAAGACCAAGATGCACAGTGACAACCTCCTCCGTAATGACCTGGGAGGACCCTATTCTCCATCACACACCAGTCTCAGCATGCAGCAGGTCAGTCACGGACTATGTGGATTTTACAGTTCATAGTAGCACTTCCCAAGATCCCAATCTTGTCATTTATCACCATCATCATCATTTGCTGTCGGGAGTTTTTCACTCACAAACAGTAGTGCTACCTTCTTACATTTGCTCACTAGTGTCTCTCTGTGATCCCCCAGGAACTAATTCAGACCTCCTCTCCATCCATGACCTCTGTCTCCAGCTCTGTTAACCCTTCAGGGATTGTGGTGCCTGCCGGGGGTCTGCAACAGAGCAATGTCGCCATGACTACCATCAACTCTCAAGTGGTATCGGGTAAGCATGTGATTACAGACACACGATGACCCTGAAACATACAATACAAGCTTCAAATTGTCTCATTAGTTTTCTTGTGCAATGTCATATAATATTTCTCTGACTTATTCTCCATAGTAAACTCTGCTAATAACTTTGACATCCGTGACACTTGGACTGGTTCAGGCTGTTCTTGCCAGACAAGCACCTTCATTTCACACAGACTGTGGAGCTTCTACACTAAAAGGCATATTATGATTTTTCAAGTTTCCATGGTCACATTGCTTTTACAGTGAACCAGTTTTGGTACCTCTCCAGTCTTATCAATATGTGGGAATATATTGTGTGTAAAATCTCTGAACCCTTTGTTCCTTCAATGGACAACTTAATTTGCATTCCCAGCACTGAACTGTATTACTTCACATCTAGATGTAAACATTTTTATAAATCTGTCTATAGACAGACATTATGCAGTGATGTGCAGTTATTTTTTGTTACTAGAGGATAAATGGTAACTATCAATTATTAATGTACATACAGTCTGTTTCTATTCACTGATACACAGTTTAGCATAAATTTCTGTTCCAACCTTACCAGTAGAAGTTTTTATGTCACCAATAGAGAGACTTCTACACCTACCTCCTGGCCTTTGGTGTTCCCCAAGGATCCATTTTGGGACAACTTTTGTTTTCTATACCTATTGTTCCAATGGATCACATTTTACAGAGATCTGTCATTAAATTCTACTTCTATGGCTGTGACACACAGCTCAGTGTCTCTGTTTGACCTGGTCATGCTAATGTGACACAGGTATTGTCACTTCTAGCAGAAATTAATGTCACAAAACATGTTACATTTTAACTCATCTTCATTAGCGATCATTCTGTTTGGCCTACCTTTTATCACTATTCTTGTCCAATCAGGTACATCATCAATCTGTCAAACTTAAGTGCACACAGATTGGGAGTGATATTTCACTTTTGTCTCTGGACCAGGGTGAATCAATCATGGTTTCTCCAGCTGAGAACCTTAACCAAAATGAAACCATTTTCATCTCTATCTGATTTTGAGAACGTGTCCATTCTTTTATCTCTTCTCATTTAGACTACTCCAGTTCTCTTTATTCAGGCCTTAGACAGAAATTAGTTGCTCATCTCCAGCTATATCAAAATATTGATGGTCAATTCAATTTTTTAATCATTTTGATTTATTAATGTTCTTGTACTCTGTGTCATTAACTCATTATCTTAGCAAATTTCATCGTTTCTCTCTGTTTTGGTTTTTGATTTTTTTGCCGTAAAGCACTTTACGGATGTATCAGTTAGAATGCATCATGATTTTGCATGAATAATCCATAATGTGAAATAAAGTATATGCTGCACAAAAGCCAGTATAGTGATAGCATGTTGTTGATTACAACCATACTACCAGCAGATACAAGCATATTCAGTACCTAGCGTTCTGAAATGAACCGTAACGTTTAACTGCTATTATATTACATTTTAATCTTTGTTACAGCTATAGTGACTGATTTTTGTCTACATGTGTATCAGAGAGCGATGGTTTGGATCTTTCATAGAGTGCTTGGCTGATAGGTTCCTATAATGTCAAGCCTCCACAGTGAAATGTTAATCCTGCCCTCTGGAAATCCCTTTTAACCCAAAATAAATCAATGTCTCTGCCTTTGATCACTACACATTGAAGAGCTCAAACAGACTGTGATAAGAGTGTCTTGATCAAGGCTAATTAAGCCAGCATCAAAAACACTCTCTCTTCTCTTTTTTCTGGGTTAAAGAATACTAATGCACCTTGAATTGAATCATTTGGTCTCTTGTTTGCCTTGTTTTTGTTTGTGGTGCAGGCAAGAAGTAAATAAGGCTCTGGTGGTAGTGCTGGATGTGGCTTTTCAGTAGCTGCTGAAGCCACTTGATACTCATGACGGCAAATTATCCCCTCAGGTGGGACCCTGTACCAGCCGGTTACCATGGTGACATCACAAGGACAAGTGTTAACGCAGGCGCTGCCGCCAGGAACCATCCAGATCCAGAACTCGCAGGTAAAGCCGTTGGGCTGCTGATGCTTTGGCCAGCACATTCGCTCCCTCCCTGTGCACTCACCACCCACTGTCTCAATTTGTTGTTATTAAACGGGCCTCTTTACATCTCACAGAATCCCCCCTGGGCGCCTTTTTCTTTTTCTTCGTCTGAACACAAGCCCCCGCTGAGACACAAAATGGAAATTGTTTATTCCCATGATGTTTAGGGCACTTACATGATCCTGTCAGGTACGACGTCAGATGACAGCCATTTACTTTGTCACATAACGCTATCTTCATTTATAGAGCAAACATTTTTGATGATGTGCTTTACACAGATGCAAGAAATAAAACCCAAAGTTGCTACAGAATATTCTCAATCCAACATGTACTTATTTTTCAACAACCTTTTGACAAACTTTATAAAGTGCCACACACTTCTAGGTGTGAAAAGAAAGAGAGTACAGTAATTTGGAATTATTATAGACAGGAAATATGACTATAAATGTTTTATCTCCTTTTCATGAGAGGGTTTAGAACAGCCAACCCCACATGAATGCCTGGAAATGGATTTTTTTATGATGCAAGGACACATTTGTGGTTTTAATATTTCCTTTCATTGTAGTTCAATTTTCTCTCACTGTGTCTTTTCTGTTCGAGTGTTAGGTTGTTGTGGAGATGAATGAGCCGACCCATTATTACCCATCTATCTATCCATGTATCTATCTATTTTTCTATCTATGTATCTATCTATTTTTCTATCTATCTATCCATCCATCTATCTATCTATCTATCTATCTATCTATCTATCTATCTATCTATCTATGTTTTTGACAACTGAAAACTAAAATGGTTTCCAGCCAAGTTACAGAACGACTATATTGTATTAATCCTCATATACATTTTTTTTATGTCATTCATTGTGGTTTCTCTCTATGATGAGTTGAACTAATACTTGTTTATTGTAGTCCAGCTCAATCCTAAAAATATCACACAGTGAATTTAAACCAAGCATCATCACAGCTGATCATTTAATATAATCATAACATATTATTATTATTACATGAATTTCCCCTAGGGGATAAACAAAGTATATATCTATCTATCTATTGAAAACATATGCAGCAGGACATTCTGTTCAACTTAATTGTTCATTTTTTTACTTACTAGCTGTACTGTTTGTTGCCTTTATTCTTTTTAAGGAAAGTGCTCAGCCATCAGAAAGCTACTTCTGCTTTTGTTAAAGGTTAATCTAGGTAGGAGAGGACTGTTGGCATCCAGAACCTTTATTACTTTCCTTTTGTTGTACACAGAGCCTCCCCTATTGGGAAAGAGAGTATCAAGAGTATAAACCCTCCTCTAAAAGTAGAGAACATCAGGCACTTGAGCCCTTGTTAGGTCTGCTCACAGGACACAGGATCTTTCCATTGCTGTGTACAACGGAAGCACAAGGAATCCGACCATGATAATTGGTGCTGACTCATTAAAAGGTAGTCACAACACAGGACTGAGACACCACACCAAAGGCAAAATAACAGACCAACAACTGTAGAGCAGACAAAATATACTGTGGGAGAGTCAGTTGAACATAAAACAGTGTCTAGCATTAGCAGTAGCACTGGTAATGTCTTTATTATACAATAGTTAGTCATATCACTGATGAACAAGTTCAGTAATAAATAAATGGGAACAGCTATTTTTGTTTTGTTTACTGTGCACATAAAGGACTGTTGCTGCATGGTGTGAGATGGCCTGATTAACTGGGATGAATGTCTGTAGACTGTGAAGTTGTAAAGTGTAAATTTAAGACCACAGCTTTTGAATATAAGAGACCAGGTTTATTGGTTATTGAGCCACAAGTTAGATTGACAGTGCACCATAAAATTATGCAACAGAAGATAATGAATTAGTTGAAACCAATTTTCCCTTTCAATTTAATTCTGCTCTTCAGAGTGGGAGTCTGCGTGATACTTGGAAGAAAATTAACTTGTAACTAGTGTTTGAACCACAAAAGAAACAACAGAACAAGAATTCAGATTTACGGATTACAGATATTCTCTTGTTCTAAACATGTCAAACATCCATGACTCAAAAAAACTCCAGGCTAGGTATATGTAACGTATCAGCAGTGGGGCCAGCATTTGCCCGGCCTTCGTACGTGCCTATAGATATGAATAAAAAGTGGGAGCAGTGCTCCATGTGCAGCAGTCCCGGCCTGGAGAGCAGCTCAGTTTCACGCAGGTAATTCTGTGCTTGACAGTTAGAGGGGGCCTCGGTGAATTGCCGTGACCCAGCCGAGGCAGAGTGTTACATGTGGGCTGGGAATTGAACACAGCCCCGTCACTACTTTGCCGACAAGCCCGGAGTAATCACACTCTCGAGCCTGGTGCCGCCAATTAATCCAACCTTGCTTTCCCCCAGAACACACATGCTCCCAGGGCTGAGGGGGGATAAGAGGAGGGTTACCCACGTGACACCCAGCTGCAACTGTAATGAGTCTTGTTTTGTGTGGAGACTATGAGGGGGGATCCGAGTGGATGTGAATGTGTATTTATGGGCATTGTGTGAGTTAAGGGAGGTTTGCATTCGTGTGAGTGCATGTAGGGTTTGACTATTATTTATTTATTATTATTCGTTTTTTCAATTTATTCAAACATTTTTTCCCACATGATTAAGTGACATTTTCATATGCATTTTATCTTTCACAAATGGGTACCTCATTCAAAAAATCATAAAAACTCAAAGCACCACTGGTACTGCCTGGTACAATGACAATTACAGATTTAAATGATTGCTTCATATTATACGTTTATATATTATATATCACATAATTATGAATATGCAGGCATTAAAAGACGTGTGTGTGTGTGTGTGTGTGTGTGTGTGTGTGTGTGTACATTTTTATATATGTGTTTTTATGTATGAAGTATTGTCTTTGCAGATAGTGTCAAACAGGGTTTGCTAATGGCTGCTATTGAGGGTCCATTGTGTTTCATATTATCTGCCTCAGAGCCCACATACACTTTTATCTCTGCAATGAAATGAACACACGCATATTGTACTATAGTGGACACACAGATACGCACACACTTGGGATTTTCCCTTTTTTTCACTTAGGAGAACATTGTATCAGCTTTCATTATTTCTCTGGGGATTTAACTAACCTTTAACCATAAATAACTAAATCAGGCTTAACCCCAGCCCTTGCCCGAATGTTGACCTAACCCTAACCTAAGGCTTACCCTAAAATCAACCAACAATCGAGGCTTAAACCTGTTGTGTGAAAATATTCTACTGCTCGCACAAGAAACATGGGCTGCACTGCTCAGAAATGTGTTTTGCATCTTGTTGCTTGGATGTTTGAGCTTCACTGTGCAGTCTGACAACTAGAAGGCTGTTGTCACATTCACATATCAGACACAAATTATCACTATTTTTATGTCTTAAAACATCTCTGGAGGGGATCTTTAAGAAGATCACAGAAACTGGCCTGAGGCTGGTGAAATGTTATATATTCAATATTTTTCTATTTTTTCAACAAATCCTGTTTTTTTAAAAAAAAGGCCCAAACCAACAATATGTTAATCCAACTTTAAATCCTTTCTGACTTCCCTAGCAAGTCTTTGTCACTCAGCCAAAACTCAGACAAATATATACTTTCACATAAGAAAATTATAAAAAAAAAAAAAAAAAGAACAGCTATGTAATTTCCTAAAACATCTGGCCACTATTTCCTCAAGGAGTAAATAGTCATGTGCTGGAGACTATTTTCAGTGTTGGCTTAAACCACATTTGATGCCCTACTGAGTATATCTGGCAGCAGGATGGTGTCTGTGGGGCTGAGTCAAAACAGTGTGTGTGTTCATGGTAATGAAGGAAACATGTCACCCAGTGCAACAGTGGCTTCTTATGTGTTTTTAATAGTTTTTGACAACAGTGGAGCAGTCTTGGATACCTACTCAATACCTGTTATTTGGATCAATTCATTGTTGGTTTGGGTCTTTATATGGAATTTGTTGATCGTTAGAAAAATATAGGACATCAATAGACTTTTCCTTTAATAATTCTTTGCATTCTTTTTAAATTCTTTTTGAATCTTAACTTAACCTTGACTGTAACCATAGAAATATCCCCTGAACACCATAGCAAGCCCTAAATGCCTTTACATGAACAGTAGACTAACAAGTCAGCCCTCACAAGTACGGCTCTGCCAGACCGAGCACATGCATTCACACACACACACACACACACACACACACACACACACACACATCCATATGTACACTGCAGGGTGTCAAAGACTGTCAATATCCTGAGATCATCTTGTCCTTCAGCACTCACACTCCAAACAATAACATCTGAATAATGATTTCTCACTGAACACAAAGACAGGCTTAGGTCAATACAAATGAAAAGCTAAGCCAAACACAGCCACACTTTGTACCAGTTCCTCACTAATTCAGCATCAAACTGGAGTCCAAACTTTTGACCAAAGGCTCAGCTGACTCTCCAGTCCTTAAACTCGCTGAAGCACAAAACAGGAGACTGACCCTCTTGTGTTTCCACATAGTCAAGAGTGCTGCTTTTTTATATTTTAAGTATCATTACTCAAACTCAGTTACCATGGTGACACTTGAGGAGGTGTTTCTGGCCTTGCCACCGAAAGAAAAAAGATAGGTAATTGGTAGTCTCCCTTTGTTTCCGTGGCAACAATAACTGAGACCTACCATCCACTCCTTTTTTTTTTGTCTTTCTTCTTCTTTCTGCCCTTCCTGGTCTCTGTTGTAAAGGTAAACGTGGACCTGTCATCTCTGTTGGACAGTGAAGACAAGAAGTCCAAGAATAAGAGGGGCGTTCTGCCCAAACACGCCACCAACATCATGCGGTCCTGGCTGTTTCAGCATCCCATGGTGAGGCACAGTGTGTGTGTGTGTGTGTGTTGCAGGACCCCGCAAGTTGGGCTGTTTGAGGGTTAAGACTTGGTTTTAGGGTTTGTTTTAGAATTAGGTTCAGGTTAGTGCAAGGGTTAAGGTCAGGCATTTAGTTGTGATGGTTGAGATTAGGGTAAATGGCTTGGAAATGCATTAAGTCAATGACAGGTCCCCACAAACGTGTAGCTCTACAAACGTGTGTGTGTGTGTGTGTGTGTGTGTGTGTGTGTGTGTTTGAATTAATCTCAATGATCACATTTGTTGGCCTTCTCAGGGGAAGTGTTATGAAGTGGTAGTTATGAAGAGAAGGAAAATGGATGAGACATATATGGGGGGGGGGGTTAAGTAGTTAAATGGGGAGGTTCGCTGGATGTTGGAAGAGCAGGAAATGTCAGTCAGCGTTCAGCATGAGAAGTCAGCATCAATAAGGGAGTGGCACACAAATACTATTAATTACAGAAAACTGCTTGAAACCTGAGAGGTCATCTCTTCCTCCTTTCAGCACCCGTACCCAACAGAAGATGAGAAAAGGCAGATTGCTGCACAAACAAGTCTAACCCTTTTGCAAGTGAACAACTGGTAAGATGCTGAATGTCACCATTAAACCTCATATGCACACATAGACAGAAAAACACCACTTTTACTGCAAACTACTATTATTGTAATAGAAATATAAGTGGAGGCTTCACTTGAAGTGAACTTGGATGTACTGGAGCGCCTCAGCACATTGCTGGCACTGTGGCGCCATCTCCTGGTCATATATCTCTAGTACACCAGAGCCCAAATTGTGCCTCCCTACTTGTTTGTTTTCAAAGAACAGGTTTTTCTTAAGAGCTACTTTAAAGAGACGATGATAGTGTTGTTTTGTAAACTAAAAAGAATTGTATCTGTGACGATCTATAAGTCACATGACTGTTCAATAGTCTATTAGGAAATCAAAAGCAACCTCCTTGGTGAATAATTTTGGACGGTATCTCACACTGGTCTGAACATTTCTGTGTGCGCATTCTTAAAGATAGAAATTGTTGTTATCCCAACATATTTTACCCACAAAGCATTTTAATGATAATCTGATGATACTCTGTAATAATCAATAATAATATATAATGTAGGTTTATCAACGCTCGTCGGCGTATCCTCCAGCCGATGCTGGATGCCAGTAACCCAGACCCAGCTCCTAAAGCGAAGAAGATGAAGTCCCAGCACCGTCCCACACAACGTTTCTGGCCTGACTCCATCGTGGCTGGAGTTCTGCAGACGCACAGATCTCAAACAGGAAACAACTCAGACAGTACGTCAACACTAAACCTTCCAAACAATTAAACACAAATATATCCAGAGGTTTTTTTTTTCCCTAAACTGTACTTAACATTTAAACACATGAATGAAAGGTTTTTAAGAACTGAATCTTGTGTGTTCGAATCTTAACCACTAGGTGACACTGTTGAATCATCTTTGCTTTTTATGTGAGAGGACGTGAAGGCAAAGTCACGAACAAAGAGTATAATATTATTTTTTAAAAAAGTAGCATTTGTCCCTCAGGAATCATAAGTTGGATCTGAGCATGTTTTTTAAAACTGTGTGGAAAAAATTACAGCTCTCTGCAGATAGAAAAAGAAATAATGATAAATACTGTTACCCATGGCAACTGTCTAGTTTTTCATGTCAAAGCTCAGAGTAGATTATAGATTTTAGTTGCTGGGTGTAATGTATAATCTATCTGCCACCTCTGTACTGCAGCTGTTGCAGGTAAAGACTCAAAGCTTTCTACAAGTCAAACAACTTCACTGTCATAAATTTAACTCAACCATTTCATGAGCATATTTGTGTTAAACTCTTAATAAAAGCTCTGCTTCTAGGTAATAATAAACTGCAAAACTACGGTTCATAGTTAAGTAGTTTATTCAGTGGAAGGAAGGAATGCCAAATACACAACTTTATGTATCTTGATATGATATTATATCAATAAATGTAGACCTCCAAAGAAACTTACACGCCTTTACAAGCATTTATTATTTATGGTCCCGTTTTTATTTAGATACATGTGCACCGCAATACTACTGCTGTGTGATCATGACTGCATGTAAACCGGAGAACTGAGAGCTCCCAAGGATAATCTGAGTTTATAATAACAGTTTATAATTGTGCGCCACATCCTCACCCCTCCTCTGTTTTCCTGCTTTCCCCTCAGACCCGCTGAGCATGGACAGCCTCCAGTCACTGTCCTCAGACTCAGCCACCCTGGCCATGCAGCAAGCCATGCTGGGTGCCGATGACTCCATGGACGGCACCGAGGAGGACGAGGAAGAGGAGGAGGAGGAAGAAGAGGAGGAAGGAATGGAGGAGGAGGAAGAGGAGGAGGACGTGGATGAGGAAAACGACAGGGGGAGGCAAAGGAGAGATCTGAGCATGGAGCACAGAGAGGAACTGGAGTAGTGGAACAGGGGGAAAGGACTATATGAACTTTGACCACAGTTGTCCACTTAAATACGGCCTCATTCAAACTCCAACTAGACGGCTCTAATGTAAAGTGACTCTTGGGAGCATTTAAGGGCATATTAGGTTTTCTCAACGTTCATCAGAGACTCTTCTGCGGAGCCTAATCAGACACAATGACCATCACAATCATGATTATAGAGAATGAATATTAGTTTAATGATGAATATGTGTTGTTCCATTTTATGACAGTATGTCCTCATGCAGTGAGCTCCAGAAATATTCAGATAGTAACACTTTTTCTTACTTTTTTTTTTAGCTCCTATTATTTCTGGAAAGAAATGACACAGAAACTTAAAGGTTGAATAGATTACTGTCAGTTTTAAATTGAAGACGTTTTTGCTCATTTTACTGTGATGGTTAAAAAAGAGAGCAATGACATTTTCTGTCTGTTTTGAATTCAGGATACAGTGAAATGAAAATTGAAACGCTGGATAGTAGAATGAAGAGTCTGAAGTAGCTGCACATGCATTAAAAAAAAACTAAAATAAAATCTTTGCACAGTGATAATTGCTGATTGAATGTGTAAACAACTACTTAACTGATTGTAATCTGTCCAGAATGTTTTACCAGCATGAAGTTAGTCACAAAAAAGGGCTGCAGCTTTTTTTTAAACTGTTTATTCTGAATGAAAGTACAACATTTTCAACTGACGGCTCACAATTTAACTTTGCCGTTCATGTGTCATTTGGTTTCCTAAAATAAAAGTGAGGCACAAAAAAAAAAAAGTGTCATGCTGTGCAGATATCAGCATCCACTGCTGGGACATAATTCGCGCCTTTTAGCTGACTCATATGTTCTCAGGTTGAGCAACACTCTCATACGATGTGTTTCTTTCTCATGAGCGAAACACTTCACTTCACTGCTGCAGTAAATCTCGTTCCAGCATGACTTTTGAAACAATCTTTATTTTTCTTCTACCATGAGCAAAAGAAAAAAAAAAAAAAAAAGAAACCTGTAGTAAACCAGTGTATACTGACTGCACATATAGTATGTATATTGGATTTTTCATATGTTTGCATTCTGGTGTTGAAGGTTTGCATATTTATTCTGTTTTTTGTTTTGTTTAGTTTTTTTGGTTTTTTTGTGTGTGGCCTCAGAGGGTAGCTAAATGAACAACATAACGACGACAGCTGCTTCCACATATACTAGTAGGTTTGACTGTTGAAAAAGCCCATGGGCCGTGCACATACTTGACTTCAACCATCAACTCTTAGAATTGCTTGTGTATTTTTGCGACTCTCGGGCGACTCTGTCACAAAATAAGAGCATGACAAGCCCTGCCAGTCGCCACAGACTGTCTTCACCCACATCTCAGCATCAGGAGAGATCACAGACAAAAGATGGCCAGCGACTTTGGAATCCCTAACCGACAGAGCCGGTGTCATTTACTGACAAACTTTTTCAAGGAAGAAGACAATTTTGAGGAAAACGAGAGAAAGAGAAATGAAAAAAAACAAACAAACAAAAAAAAAAAAAAAAAACTCAGTAGTAACATCTCTTTCAATTTTATGTGAAGGATTTTGAAGAAACTGTGAAACAATTTCAGCTGTTTTGTACTAAAACACACAAATGGAGTCACTCGTTTCTAATGTGAAGACGTCTAGAAAAAGAAAAACATGTTATATTGAATGTTCTGATTGTTCATTGTGAAGTATGTTGCTCATTAATATTCTTTTCTCAATTGCTTTTTTTTTTTAAAATGGATCTTCCAGAGCAAGTGACAGACAATAGGAAATATTTCTATTTCATTTGTACACTTTGTTGTCATAATCTATTGTGTTTCAATAGACCAATTTTAATAATTAAACATATAAAGGTACTGATTTTGACTTGGTGATCTGAAAGTTCTGCACATGTTTAGGCTGAGCAAACATCTAGGGCAGCGGTTCCCAACCTTTTCACTTGAAAATCTCAAAAATGTTGGCAGCCCACATACAACTTAGTCTCTTGACTCTCTGTCCTTTTAATTCTTCCTAACCATTTCAATAGTCCACTTTTTGTCATGAATGTAATCTAAACAATCAGACTGAGATAGCAAACAAGTAAGATGTGGCCCGGCAATATAAAAGTTCCTATCATTGGTTTACCACAGTGATAGGCCTTTATATGAGAAGATAGAAAAACAACGAAAGGATGTTTTTAATCAATTTTAATGTTTTTAAAGATAAAATTGTAACACATTTAAACATTTAAAGGCCCCATATTATATAAAGTGAGATCTCCATGTCATTATTATAAAGCAGGTCTAGGGTCTATATTAATACTGTGAAAGTATCAAGTGCTCAGTCCACAGAGAAATGCACACAGCCTGTATTCAGAAATTGAGCCTTCAAACAAGCTGTCGCGACTTCTGTAACTTTGTGATGTCACAACAAAGCAGTCACCACTGTCAGCACGGCCCACCTGGACCCACCATCCAACCTTGCAGGATTTGGATTCTCTGAGTATTTACCTGAAATCCGTTATATTTTTATTCTATCGCTCCGAAAACAGTCAGCCAATCGGAAGAGAGGCACAGAGCCTGTCATGTAAAAAAAATACACGCATTTATCTTCTTATGGATATCAACATGTCAAATCACCACCAAACACCAGAAAATATTTTATGTATATGTATAGTATATATACGATTGATTTGATTATATGATTTGACATGTTGATATCCATAAGAAGACAAATGTGTGTATATTTTGTGATTCTCTGAGCCTCTCTTCCGATTAGCTGACTGTTTTCTGAGTGATAGAATAAAATATAGGCTATATACTGTATATACAGCCTACATCTTTTTATCAAAACTGTATGGTTTTGTCTGCCCACTTTCAATACCTTCACGGCCTCACCAGTGGGTCCCGGCCCACAGGTTGGGAGCCACTGATCTAGTGCCATAAATCCACAGACAGCAAGTAGGCAGTTTGATTCATGAGAATCTTTAGAGAAGAAAGCACCAAACACAAAACAATTAACACAAGCAGTTTTCTTTGCTACACACACTAAGCCAGTATCTCAACAGAGGAAGACTTCAGTGTGTGTGTGTGTGTGTGACACTTGTGAAACCCTCGCAGGGCCCTGCTTCATTGTAACATGTTTCCAGATTACAGAGTTAGCAGTCTAAATATTGGTTTAACGCCCCACATTTTCCTGTCAAATGCGTAGCCTACCACCCACTGGTTATCGCTCTATCCTGTGATTTAACTTGCTGAAGGACGCCCACCCAAATGCTCTCCCACCTTTATCAGCCGATTACCACAAAAGAACCCAACAGAGCTTTTGACCACAGGGTTTCAACTTTTTTCAAATGTGGATTCTGCTCCCTCAGAACAAATGTTAATCACTGTTGTGGGTGTTTGCTGCACAAGCCACATTGTATTGTTTTCACACGGCTTGTACGCTTGTATGTAATTGCATCCTTGCATTGTTTTCTCCCCCCTCCCTCCTCTTAAAAAGGTCAAACTTTAACTGCAGAAACACTTATTAAATATCTGTTACCATGTACTTCTGCTATTTTTCTCCTGCTTCAGCCACTTTTTTTCTGGTAGGAGGAATTTGAATTGCCGTGGCCATGCAGGGTTTCAAAATGATATGTTAGGCGTAGGTGATTAGGCATGGATCAGAAGTTCTTATACTTGGAAGGGAAATCACCCATATTTACAAAAGTGGTCTAATAAAAAAACCTGTCTATGGGCATCCCAACATTTCTTCTATAATTATTCCACACAGGTCTCTCTGTACAGCAGGTCAGATGGGCCCCAGTAAAACACCAGTTGGAGAGGCAGTGGGATAAAATGTAAATGTAATAATCTGCCCTTATAGTAGCTAAGGTAGGCGTTTTAATTTAGAGATGGCTTCCGCTACAGCAGGAAGACTGGTCATAAATCATTTACCATTGTATCTTTTTAATTAATACAGAGTCCAGTCAGTAAATCCAGTTTGGAGTTTTAGGTTAGAGACACTTTGACTTATAAAAAGCACTTAAAGTAAAGTAAATAAAAAGTTTGCGGTTTGCTGAACCATGCCTTTCAAAAAAGATCTCAGAGGAGTTACAATCAAGAACTATTGATTTGCATGAAGCTGAAAGGGTTACAGAGTCATCTCAAAGAGTTTGGATCTCCATCAGTCCACAGTCAGACAAGCCGTCTGTACATGGAGATGATTTAGTTCTGTGGCTACTCTCCCTAGAGGTGGGCGTCCAGCTAAGATGACTCCAACCACACACAAAAGAATGATCAATGAGGTAACAAAGAACCTCAGAGTAAAAGCTAAAGGCTCAAAGGAATCACTGGAGCTGGTTAACAGTGGTTCATACGGTTCATAAGTATACCACACAGAAATCATGGAAGCTGCTGCTCTCCAACAAAACACAAAAACATCACTTCACCTGAAGTTTGCCAGAGAGTATCTTCACACCGCTCAGACAATGTTTTGTAGATTCATGAAACTAAGGTTGAATTGTTTAGGAAGAACACAAGTCAACATCTCTTAATGCCCGCCCAGTCATAGCAGTCTAGAACCGGTAACCAGTAACAGCTGATAGGAGGGGATTTTTTTCTCTGGCCAATCACCCTCCATCATCTCCTCCCAATAGAGGTTTTGCAGTGTTATGACAATGTCATGCTACTTCTATCTGTGATTGCGAGAGAGGGCAAAGATCGTTGGTAATGAAAATTTAAACTGGAGATTTTTAAAGCATTTGAACAAACAAATGCTTTTATTTTCCTGAAGAAAACAAGTTTGTGTGATCGGACCGAACAAACCATCATTAACGCTGATAAACTTGCAGACATACTGCAGCTCTTCTTATTTATACCATTAAATATAATAACATTGGATTCAATGCACAGGCGAAACACAAAACAATGCAAATCTGAATGTTTTTAAAATCGGAGACAGCACAGTGCAGCTCTTCGCATTCACTCCTGTATGTCAGATCGATTCAGTCAAATGGGATTTTTTCTCTCAGACACCAGGGTCAGAAACATGCCGTACAGTACAGTATTTAGCAGCAGCTCCCAGTGAAGTAAAAATAGTCTCAGAATGACAGAGGCTGAAAAAGCCACTGGCAATGGTTCACTTGTTTGAAGTGGGCCACAGCCACTGTGCTTCACAGCAGCATGGATATACCAGAGAGAAAACACACACATGTATATACACACCCAAAACTGTATGGCCTAATGTTGGTTAATGGAGGTCTGCTGCAGTCAGTGCCATCTGGGCGACATGATCCCAGATGTCTTCTCTGTAATTAGAGCCAGACCCGGCTCGGCCTGGTCCAGCCCAGATCCAACCTCTCATTTACCCAGGTCCTCCCTGAATACTTAAGGAGCTTTCCAATACTGTGGAGGCCTTTACAGGAACTTTTTAGATCTGGAACATATTGTATAATTTTGTCACTAGAGAAAGCTGGAAGACTTAAGGTAAGGCGGTTATAGCTTTCATCATGTGTTGAAGATATTTACCTGGCATGGGATCCTATAATTGAATTTGAACACCAAGTCACCAGTCTAGAGGTTTTCTTCTATTACTGTAGATTTGTAGGCATTTCTGCTTTATTATATCACATGTAGCGAAGACTGACAGGGAAGATAAGATAGAGAAAGGCGAGCAGTGATATGTGACAAAGGTCACGAGCGTGATTCGTACTTACAGCACCGAGAACACACGGTATCTTCTATTTCTACTTGACTGTGTCAAAAAATAAACCTTTTTCTTATCATCGGGGTAGGTGTTCAAAATGTCCATCGCCCAGGCGGCGGCCAAGGCCATGCTATCTGATGCCCTGCTGCAGGACGGCCCTGGGATAAACCGGATCAACCACCTGGAGCTGGAGCTTCCTCTGGACAAGGTCATCAAATTTGTGTCTGTCGGGCTTCCACTGCTGCTGGTGTGCATGGCGTTTGCCCGGGAGATCTCCCTGGGTGAGCAACTCTCTGTCTCGATCCCTTGTTTTGTTAAAAAACTATGTTAGGACCTTTGTTTGGTTTTCCATTTGCTGTTGCCCCTAATTACATCCTGTATTCATGAGCGCTTGTTTTTTATTCCATGCTTGTCCATGCTTTCGATGCTTACTCCACGTTTCAGTGACACTGTTATGCAGTGCCCTCTGTATAGTAATTATGCCCTGTTTGTCCTTGAATTGCTCTGTGTACTGGCTAAACTGCATTTAGTTCAACTTGTGATGAGGAGGAATATCATACATACTAATGTAAACATACTTATCATTCCTGAGGTCAGTGGTAGCTGATTTAAAATTAAAACAAAGGTCTAAAAAAAATTCAAAGTTTTCATGTAATAAAAGAAGAAAAACTGTAAAAGCTCCAAAGCTATTGAAGGTAAAAGTGGAAGTTTAGCTGTTTAGCCTAATGTGTTTTGTTAAAACTTCTGACAAGTGTGCATATCTTCGCTCTTTCACAGCAGGTTTTTATCTTTGCACTCAGAAACATCTCATCCCTTACAATTCCAACTTGAGGAAACTAATTATTAAGAGCAATAACAATGAGAGCCATAATTACACGGCACTTTCCTCGACAAATTTAGGCTGCTGTGAAGCAAGAGGAAGAAAACACTTAAACAGCACCTATCATAAAAGGAAGGGAGACATTGACTGTTGGCTCCATTATGAACGCCTCACCACAACAGAAACCAGAATAGCAATAATGATATGACAACGCAATGTCACTAAAAACACAAAATCACAATGGTCTTCAAACTCCAATCAGTAGTTTATTGGCTGTTTTGCTGTTCATTTTACTGCTTGAACTGATTTAGAACCAGCAGAAAATAACATGTTTTGAATGGATTGGTTTGGTGTATTTTCACATGAAACAAGCCCACAGCCTGTCAGTCCACAGCCACATAAATAACACAAAAAGTACATCTGACAACCAAAGGATACGTGGCAAGTCCTCAGCAGTCAGAGTCTGCTGCTGAGGAGGCTGACTCGCTTGACTTTAAACTAAACATCATCTCTCCAGAGCTGGTCTGCAATCAGCCTTATGCTCCTGATGCTAATTGCCGTGGGGGATGATTGAGAGCAGCGTTCACTAACGCTGGCACACTGTAATTACAAGCCGAAGTTCTTCTGTGGCGGCTCCCCTCTATTTCAGTCAAATGAGAGGATATGTTGATTAACCAGAGGGGGGGGGGGTGGGGGGTAGGGGGGGGTGTCGTCGAACATGACATGGTGCTGAACGGCTCAACTGATGGATCTTGGCTGCCTATCTGCCGGGTTGTCAGTTTCACAACAGTGCTTGATTGCGCTGCTGTCTGGGAGTCTGGTTTACTTGCACCTGGACTCTCAGCCAAGAATTCTTGTACAAAGCAGAAATGTGGGGATGATCTGCCAGAGTTAATTGGGGAGTGGGAGTGGGAGATAGGAGCAGTGGCAGAAATTTAGGCGCCCCTTGCTTTGCCAAATGGCTCACAGGGGTTGGGAGCTGAGGGGGAGACGATTTTATGAGATTTCATGAGAAGGCATGTGCTGTCGTTTTTATTTAGGGTGACTTGTTAACGCATGCGCCCACACACGCTCTCACAAGCAAACTGGAAAAATAGATTCCCATAGCAAGCTGCATTAGAACATACGGTGGTGTCAGTTGTTATTACAACTACAGCAGTCACCATAACTTAAACCTTAGCAAGTACCAGTGTAGCTCCTGTTATTGTAATGTGGAGCATAAGAGCACTTATTTTCTCTGGTAACCCATATATCACATGAAAACATCTGTTTTCAGTCTTCTGTTTAATATTAACATGCTTTTCTCCATTGAAGGCAAATTATAGGAATTGCTCCACCATGATGCCTTTAGAGGTTTGCGAGGCTTTGAGCAGAAAGAACATGACAGACAGCTTTATACTGCAACACTCATTACTCTTTCATTAAGTGGCTGCCAATAATGGATGTTGATGAACCATCACTGTCTTGTCCATTCATATACCATCTGTCCTCATCATTAGCCTCATTATGTTGGCCTATAAAAGGGTCTACATTTATTTCAGAACCAGAACTTTCAATATATGTGATTACAAATATAATACATATAAACACACACACACACACACACACACACACACACACACACACACACATACATGGCTATAGGATAATTGGGCCACGTACCAGTTGCCTATAATGAGGTGGACTGGTACAAGAAATTCCATCCTGACAGTAAATTAGTGGCAGTATGTTTCTACTTACAGGCAGTTCGGCAGATGTGGAGGGTGCTTGTAAAAAATAGAAGCTCCATGTTTCTCTTGTAAGGCTGTGTTGTAGGTGGGGCACACCCTTTGGTGTGTTTCCTCCCGAGCTCTGTGTTTAAGGGTGGAGAACCCTTGGGAAATGACAGATGGGTGTAGAGCATACATTCAAGTGGTCAGACTATATGTGGTAATATCAAGGTGAACTAAATATAAGGTGGAGGAGGCCAGTTTTGGAAGGGAGCCACCCAGGGTTTTTAAATGCCAGGCTGCCATTTGGAAACATATGATTTCCCCGGTGAAAATCTGTAGCACTGAAAAGAAAAGGGCATGCAGAAGCTCACATGTACGTGTCTGGTTGTGGACCTCCGGTGCTGAGCACTGTGTGTATGTGTTTAAGTATATGTGTTTTTGTGTGTGTGTGTGTGTGTGTGTGTGTGTGTGTGTGTGTGTGTGTGTGTGTGTGTGAGAGAGAGAGAGAGATATCAAGAGCTTAGAGATTGCTTACAGGCAAATTGATAAAGCAGGATCAAAGGAGGCTGCAGGAACCAATTCCCTATATGAGCAGATAATGTTACAGATCAACATTTGTTTATTCTGCAGGGCCTCAGATCAGCTGTTTCCCTCCCAGCAATTTCACTATTAAGCAGGCCAGCTACGTTGACACATACTGCTGGGACTCTCTCATGCATCACGAATTTGACAGCGATGGGAACTTTGAGGAGCGCTCTCTCTGGGTTCACAAAGTAAGTCGAGAGATTCTGATCAGGCTTTCTTGACCTGTTATTGTCACATGTAAGTGGTTGTCAGACAAATTGCTGAAACATTTTTATCCTTATTGTAATTTGCAAGACTTCAGTTGAAAATGTCAGCATAAACCTTTAATAAGAAGCACAGACCCTGATTTGTTGCAACAACCATTAGTGAAGTATTCTGAAACAGTGCAGTTGACATTTAAGGCCCAGTCACAAGCAGGAAAGAAGTTCTAAATCAGGAATTTGTAATACTGGTTTGTGAAGCCATTGTTTATGTGACTTGTCTGCTTCTCTGTTACTTTGCCTTTTCTTCCTCTCCATCTGCCTCTCCCCACCCTGTCATCCTTTTCTCTCATTGTCTGTCCAGATGTTCCCTTACTCTCTCCTGGCCATGGCGGTGCTGATGTACCTGCCAGCTCTGATCTGGCGCCAGCTCGTGATGCCCTCACTGGGCTCAGACCTGCTCTTCATAATCGACGAACTAGATAAGTCATACAACCGCTCGATCCGACTGGCCCAGAGCATTCTCGATATGCGCCAGACCACTAAGAACCCGCTCACATTTCAGGCTGAGCTGCAGAGGTGAGAGACCAGTGACTGTCGTGGCATGAATATCCGCTGCTATGCGTATCAGTTTCAAATAAAATACTAAATATTTTCCAGTTTTTCTTTTTTTGTTTATGTTTTGAATACCCAAATCCTATGAGTGCATATTTGCCGTAAGACAAGATTATGCCTTTGTTAAATGAAACTTTAATGATTCCCATAGAGAAATTGGGTCACTGGAGCAGCAAATAAAAACGATCCACCAGTGAGAAATATTGCCCAAAGGTTACAGAGGTGATCTTAAGCTGTCAGTTTGAATCTCTTGATAAACTGGGGAGTGTGGCTCGGGAAACTGAAGAGTAATGTTTTCCTCTCCCTCAGCAGCTACCATTGACATACCCTTGAGCAAGGTTTTAAGATCCAAGAGTCTCAGTGGATGGTTTGTTGTGAGTGTTGTGGTGGGCAGCTCCTAGTAGCTAAAAGTAGAAAGCTATGGTTGGGTGTTGGGTTGGGAGGCTCCCAGCTGGAAATATGTTTAGCCGTATGAACATGAAGGAGAACATTGTGCTGAGTTTCCTCTCCTTGTCCGATTGCAGGGCAAAGAAGAAGCGATACTTTGAGTACCCTCTGCTGGAGCGATACATGCAATGCAAACAGAACTCCTACTTCCTTGTTAGCATGCTTTTCTTACGTGGCTTCCTCCTCCTGACCTTCATGACCGCTGCCTGTCTCTACCTGGCTTACTTCCACCTCTCGGCCTTCCTGCAGGATGAGTTCAGCTGCTTTGTCCGCACCGGCATGCTGCGCGATCAGAACTGGGTTCCTGAGCTGGTTCAGTGTAAAATGATTGGTCAGTTGGTGTTTCAGGTGATAAGCGTGGCCAACGGTGCAATCTACGTCCTGTTGGCCCCCATTGTTCTTTTCAGCCTGATTCGGCTCTTTGTTTGGGACACCACCTTCATCTCCGTCTATGATGTCCTCCCAGCTCTGGATCTCCTCAACCGCCGCAGGCTCGGCTGCCCGCTAAATGACCTCAATGTCCTTCTGCTGTTCTTGCGTGCCAACGTAGCGCACTTAAAGTCCTACGGAAACGTGAGGGCGTTGTGCTCGCTGGCGCCGCCACAGGTAGGCAACACCACTGCAGGGCAAGGCTTAAACGCAATGCTGACCCAAGAAGAGATGGAGGAGCGGGAAGAGGCTGCGATGGAGCTGGCGGAGGAGGTGGAGGAGGCCAAGGAGGAAGGGAAGCTCAACTTGGTGGATATCATGACCATTCTGGGAGCAGCACAGGGAAGAGTGGTGAACTGCAGTGAGAAGAGGCCTCTGGTGGAGCAGAATATGAGTCTGGGTACCGTAACACTTATCTACACACTCAAACGCTTTCTACTAGTGGCTATTTTTGTCTACATCATTTGGGATGTACAGAAAATTATTAAGTGACCTCCAGACTAAAGATAAAGGATAATGAATACAAAGTGCTTTAAATATTACTGAACACAGAATAATTTCATATTCAAGTGGACCTGAGGAAGCAGTTTGAGAAACTGTAAGCAGTAAATCCAAATAAAAGTGTTTGGTAAAATTGTTTCTTTGTATTGTTTCTGATTTGTCTTGTTTTTGTTGTTTCTTTTTGAAATCAAACTGAATCACCTATATTTCTAAAAGAGTCTTTTCAAATCACTGGCTAATGTAGAAGAGATAGATTTGTGGTACTTCCAAGCCCTAACTAACCTCTCTGTCTCTTCACAGAGCCAAACCACCAGGGGTACCATGAGTTGAAGGAGACAGCACCCTTTAGTCATTACTAGGCCTCCTATGGACTGAATCAGAGTGATAACAATGGGGGGGTTGGGACATTCTCTACAGTAGATTTTGAAGAGTGCTGTACCCACAAAGACTGTGGACACCAATCATGGGTTTCTGCGGTCTGAAGGAAAAAAAAAAAAAAGCCTCTTTTAGAATTACAGGGCAAATTGTTCTGGCTGGAAATGTCAATGGATTTGGATTTGTCAATTTTCAGCAGCCGTGCATCTGTAGCTGCCACAGACTTTCCTTCTGTCTCTTAGTCTGGTCCCATTTATTTTCAAGAAACCAGAGGTGGAAGCTTGCAAGTGAAAGTGGCTGTTGTAATCATGTTTACTAACAACTATATGTCGACATGACTGTGTGCATTTGTGAGAAATAGGAGTTTTGATACAGTACGCAGTATAATGTATGCTGTGTACTGTATACATTTTTTGAGAGACAGAAAAACATTTTAGTGGCAGTTATGGATTCCTCTCTGTAACTTATATTTGATGAACTTAATAAGAGGTCACATTACTGAATATTATAATTTATGTACTCTCTTTCCTTTTTCCTCCTTATATTGGTATTTACTTTATCAGCAAATAAAATGAAATTTGTCTGTGTGTGAATTATGATAAGTGTTTTCTATGTAATTATAAATAAATAAACGTGGTGTAGCTACAAGTGCTTCCCTCATCATTAAATCTGCAGATGTATAATTTATATATACCAAGGTGATTTTTTGATCTGTCCTTTTAAGGGTAGCAGAGAGCCACTCGTCTTTTCAGTGCTTTTATTTTTAGTACATGTAATTACAGAGCTGAGTGGGCAAAGCACTGCTTCTGTGCAGAGATGTCAGATGCTTGTCTACAAAAGGTAGATACATAAAATACTGTATTTACAGGCAGGAAATGTCTATACGATCAAATTCAATAGAATGAGGCATGCGCATGGTGCGTACAAGCAGCTGTAGAAATTACAGTATTTTGACACAGCTAAGAGATGACTGTGAGCTGTTTTTGTCAACGTGCTTGTAATATAAATTTAACTGTTAATGAACCAGATGATACAGCAAACAATCAATGAGCATGTGGCATCTGCCATTATCTTTGTGCTTCAGAGTACCAGCCTAGCTGGAAACAAATTGGACACAATGCCTCCTTTACATGATTCAGCCTTGGCAAATATATACACATATGTGTGTGTGTATGTATATATATATATATATATATATATATATGTATATAAATCCAGCAAACGTTCCACTTGTGTCACCATGTGTGACTATTGCACTGAATGAGCCAAGAATCACTGGTGTGCAGCAACAGGGCGAAGTAAAGCATGCAATTATTTTGATGTAGTCAAAGGCACAAAGGCAGGCTAAGTTCCTTGTGGGTAATAAGGGCCAGTGGTGTACAACAGGAATGCGATGTAGATCTATCTGAGACTTATAATGAACCCTTTGGAAGTCCAGATACAAATGATGTGTGTGTGTGTTTTGTAGACTATCACGTCACTGCAACAAAAAAAAAACTTAATGAACTGTGTTTTATTATCGAAACAGGAAATCACGGGGCATGGAACACTTTATAGTCAAGGCATTTCAGCTTTCAGATATTTTCCACATCAAAGTAATGGTTAGGCTTTTTATGCTGCAGCACAACTTTAACAGTCATGCATGTAAGATTCCATCCAATCCATCCAGCACAGAGTAAGAAGGGAGACAGGTGATGATGATGAATGTTCTTAATTACATATTTTGAATGGGAGTAAACTTAAACTTTAAAGCTTAACACAAAGGCAAAAACATGAGTATCTGCTGTTTGTGATGGTGTTGTTGTTTGGGCTGCAGCTGGCTGGCTCAGGCCACTTGAGGGCATCATTGAGTCATAATGAAATCAGACTGCCAGCATTGTTTTGATAGCAATATATTAATTTAGGGCTGCATCATAAGTGGGGTCAGTGTTGATATTTATAATTCCTGTAATCAAAACAAAAGAGAATGCAGTCTCATTCAAATCAGCCTTATCAGGCGTTCAGCAGGTCCAGACTCTTCTGCCAGAGTCTGTAAAAGCTTCTGTGCCGCAGCCAATTTTATGGTGAGGCTGCTGTTGCTGTGATTGGACCGCTGCCTTTTTGGAGTCAAGAAACTGCTGGCAATCTTCACTGAGTTCGGCTATGTCAGCAGGCTGGACACCAACAACCACTGTTTGCACTCTGTTTCCCAAAATGTTGGGCTTATGCTTTAAAGCAGAATTTGATTGAGTGAAATGAGAGATCAAGGGCGTCCTTAGCCTGCTCCACGCTGTCATTCCTGCCTGCCTGGATAATGGTGATGACTCTGTTACATCCAAACAATACTGAGGCGGTATCATCACAAGGTTTACATAGCTCGCAGCACAGCAGCAGGCACGGCGCAGGATCCAAGTTATTGAGTTTGTAGTCTGTTGTAGTCTGACAACTCTGAGCCACAACCTTTTGCACTCAACTCTGCATGAGAGATCTACTGATGGGAACAGACAGAAACATCAAATTACTTTGCGCTCATCCTGTTTGTTTCCACTGAGTATGGCAATGATCTATGTGCTAGAGGCTGGTGTGAGAGGAGGGGATTTGGGGATTGGGATGCTTTAAAACTGATCACACTACCATCTAATTAGAAATGATGTATGAGGACAATGATGATTCTTTTTTTTTTTGGGTTCTTTGTTCCTGTCCAGTAATAACTACCTGAAATACAGCTAGCCTTTTCAGTGATGGGGTTTTTACAAATACACTGTTTTGCCATTTAGGTTGCTGGCTGTAAATGAGTCTGAGTCAGATGCCTGCAGATCAGTCTCATGAGGAATTTAAAGCGAGTTTCACATGGCGACAGCATGCAAAACAGTAGCTGATAGTAAACCACAGTTGAGGTGACCTTCAGTTCATGATTCAATTGATCCATTGTAGCTCAACTCCTCGCTCAGACGACCATCTAATAAAGAAAGAAGCTTAAATTAAAAGTGATAGCCATTCTGAGCAGAAAACACACACTCAGGCAGTTTTATGCTGTTGCCACAATGATTAGAGATGCCTTAAAAGGCCATAACTGCCTGTCAGGGAATGATGTGATTATAGTCAAACATGTAATAGCTGGTGGAACTTGTAAAGTGCTTAAATAATACTGGTATTATAGCATATCTTGGCTGAGATTTTTACATGTTGCAATCAACATTTGTCCTGTAAATTCCAGCAATATAATACTACAATATTACACGTTGCCCCAAGAAACTGCATCCTATCCTTTGCATTCATTGTGCAGTGCCAGTGTGCACACCTGTGGCTGTGTTTTCCCAGCTATCTCCTCCTTAGGAGCTGTTTTTGGGTGACTACCTGACCAATTGTAATTTAAGGCACACCAGGATTGTACCACTTAAGGAAGGGCTGCTCATTTACCCCCCCCCCCTAAAGAGAGCTCTCTTTAGCTAAGCTAAAGTTAGCTTAGAAATGGAGTGCACTAACATCAACAAACAACCCACCACAACACAGACTCAAACACAAATTCCACATGAGCACAAAAAAAACCCCAAACTGACTGACACTGGGGAAAAATTATGACATTACGTTTTATAAATCCTATTTCAAAAAAACATAATGTTCGAACTATAGTCTCGCATAGGCAGACCTATCACCAGACTTTATTTTTTGCACTGTGGCAGTGCTGGAGAGTTAGATATTGTTTAAAATATAGTTTATAGTCAAACTATATTAACAGTGTACCTTTAGTTAGCTCATCTATCAACATGATGTCGGTCAATCATGTTCAGTCTCCTATGGTCGAACTAGACAGTGGGATTTTCAGTGAGCTGGTGGATCGTCAAAACATCTATAAAGGTTTTACCGTCCCTGTCAGTCTCTTTACAAGCCCTCTCTGTGTGCCTGTCATTCGGGGTGCTCATGAGAGTGTGCTGCATGGGTGTTCCATATTTAAAGCTTCACAGCAAGGGTAGGAAGGGTAGACATTTCCATCTTCCCCTGGTAATCTTTTAACTGGCACTATCCAAGTGCCATACAGGGCTTAATTTCTTTCCCAGTCCAACCATCATGTCACTTTTGGCCGGTGCCCAGCATGCTCGCTTGTTTCTATCTACGCAGTGCAAGCACATGTGCAAGTGCAAGCAACAGGATGCTATGTGCAGTTCACCACTGGTTCCATTAATAACAAGGGTGTTCTTAATGTTACAGAACCTTAAATATTTTAAGCAGTTATTTCTTCGATGCTTTTACAACAGTACCCTCAGTAATACAGAGGCTCACTGTAGACTGTGGCTAATTAGAGAAACTTATCCAAAAAGAAAAATCTGCAGCAGTCCTCATTGACCCCTCTCAGCATGGAGAGCTCTTATCTTCAGAGTGCAGAGTAAATGCTCACTCTACATTTGACTCACAGGTTTGCTTTTAAGCATGCCTCCCATCCTCTGAGTGACTAATCTGTCTCTTTTCCTGAGGTTTTCGAGTCATCAAGTTTTAATTGAGTGGTCTTCTTCTCTTTATTTTGCCATGTAAGTTGCCAATGCTAAGTACTCAGTCCTTCCTCTTCAAACAAAGCACTGTCACTGCTGCAGGAAATGTAGAACAGCAAGGGATGAAAACACCTACCTAACACCTGCTGTGTGGCTTTCATGAACTGGCTATACTGTAGCGTGAATTACCTGTATAATATCATGTAAAATATCATGTAAAATATCTACAGGTCCTCACATTCAACTTTAGTCATGAAACATATGTAAGGGCAAACAGTAATGATTTGAAACCATCCAAGGCTGAATAGATTAAGGAAACCTCTCAAACAGAAGATGAATTATTTTGATTATAATGTGTTTCTGAAGCTCGGTGCAACTCATCAAACAGGAGCAGAAGTTGATTATATAATAATCCTCAGGTTTATTACCAGTATATGTCCACAAGGCGCAGTTCGACTTGGAAGCAAACACAGGTAAAACTCACATTTAGAAAACAAATTTTATTAAACAGGAACTGTTTCTCATAATACCAAAGCAAGGCTGAACAAATTTAATTAATTGCCCAGGAGTACAAACCTCGTTTCTGTGCCTACAAAGGTCAGGACAGTTGGACAGGGAAT